AACTTCAGACTAATTCTGTGGTTCTGTTTCTGGACAAGATAAAGATACTGATTTACTGAGGAAGAGATTAGCTAAATGGGCAGAAAAAAACAAGTGAGACTCATATGGTAGGAGAGGACAGAGAAAAAAGGCAAGAGCAAAAGGTGCAGTAAAGCAACAGACATGTTGTTCTACATATCCTCCTTACGTAGGTGGCAAAAGGCATTAGAAGTTCTAGTCCCACTTATAAAAATTATCAGAGTATTCAGGGGTTACCAAGTTGCCGCCTCTGCTGCTTGGACTCTCCTGTTCACATCTCCTCATATTTTTCACACTCATAGGAGTTCCTCTGTGCAACTCTTATTCCAGGGAGATCAAAGGAGAAGGAATTAACATAACCCTCACTTTCCCTCTTCTCTTTACTGTCACAGTCACTGCCATTCCTTTCAGCTAGAATCCTGGGCTAGCTCATCTTTAATTCAGAAACTGAGCCACCTGTGATGCCATGGAAGCCATTACTAAATACTATGGGATCAGAGGTAACAAAGCAACTCAAAAGACATTCCCCTTCTTCCCTGTGGACCTTCCATCCTTAAATAGACAATCTTGAACTCTACCTTCTCAAATACCATGACCATCTCAATAGAGCTACTAACAAAAGAAAAAGAGAAACATAAAAGCTCTTTACACTGCTCCTTTCTCTTTGCTAGCATTCTAAAAATGTTTCTGCTTTCCCTGAATTTCCAGCATTTAAGTTACCCTTCTTGGCATGGTCTGAGTTCACATCTGGGATCAGATTGCTGGTGTAAGAGAGAACTAGATGGCAAAATCTTTAGTGTCAAGCAACACACTAGCCTTAACCAACAAGAGTAGTCAAGGACTCTCATACTGAGCAAAAGGAAGCAGAATCCACTGTAACAAGAATAAACCACTGCTATCAAATATGAACAAGGACATGGAGAAGTTATTTCATTAAAACATTTATTTCCCCTTTCCTTGCAATAGTTCTTTGAGATTCTTCTGCAGTTGCTGTTCAGCCAATAAAGTTGTACAAGGAAAAACACATGTGCTTAGCACAGCCATTTTTGCCAGCAGGCACAAAACCAGCTTGGCGCCTGCTGAACAGACCACCAACTGCAGCAGCACTTTACTACATGGTAGCATACACAGTGCCAGCTAAGAAGAGAGACTGAGGATGAAAGCAGAAGTCATGCTGGCTAGAATAGCCTTGGTGGTCAGGTAGGGACAGCTTTACAATTTATGAGGTTCAAGATCACTCCACACACCTTGTTCTCTAAAACTTCTCTTCCTTGGCTGTTCACTGAAGGAGAGACACTAAAACCAGGTGTCCTGCTTTCTTTCAGCTGGGCGCCCCCTTTGAGGGGCAAAGTTTGTGGTTGCAAGTACTGAAAAAAATCAGACCAAATTACCCTGACCCATAGTCTTCATTCAGACCTACTCCCTCCACATGTTCCCAGTGAAATAAATCAAGATTAAATTTGGCCCATACCAGTAGTAACCCTTTCTGTTTTCATTTTCTAATCAAGACAAGGCCTAAACACAGCATTCAGCTTTAAGCAACACAAATGCCTGGGGATCCATCCTAGAACTGTTTTTCTGGTTGAGCAGCATCAAGAGCAGACATTTCAGCTGAAATCAGCATCAACTTGTCATTTGACAACCACTGCCTTGGTCAGAGTCCAGTTAGGCAGCTGCCATTGCTCAGTTGGTTGGTCTGGGTATGTACCCCAAACAGAGCAGCCCATACCTGTATATGTGCCTTAGCCTGGAGTCTACAGGAGCAAGTTTGCAAGCTCTGGAGGGGTCTTAGGACCTCATCACAAATAAAGGATCCCAACACATTCCTAATCCTTCCTCTTGCAAAATGGACGTCTCCAAATTCACTTTTCACTATATTAAGGACCACAAGAACAAGAGAAGGCATGCTTCTGGCCTTCAAAGTGTCCATCTCCCTCAGAAAGGCAGGTAGAAGCATACTGACTATTTACTGAACTAGAAAATTCATCATAAGAGAGGCTTTTTCAGAACAGCTAGACTTAGCTCTTGTTGCCATTAACTCTTATGTGGGAAAACGCTCGAGATTTTAACTGCAACAAGGGGAAAAATAAAGCCATCAAAAATTCATTCAAGCACACCAATGTTTCATTATATCCTTTGCAGAGCAGATGGCAAGATGAGGCTATACCCCCTGGGCTGCTTCAGGGAGCTAACCCACATGCTTTTCTCACTACAGATCTCAGATGATGTTGGTGTCATCATTTCACTTGGGAATTTAGGTCAAAAGGCTTTACACTCAAATCAGTATTTTATGTAGTACAAGTGCACCCAGACTAGACCCTAACGGATAAGCAGTGGGAAGACCAGCACACAGCACAGAGCCCTCTCAGGCACTTCCAGGTCGCTGATTTACACTGGCACATTTACAGACTGAATCTTTCTAATACGATTAAAATCTGATCTGAGCTGTCAATACAGATGTAGCCTGTTTTACTTTAGTGTCTCGTAGAACATGTATTAATCTGGACCTGTGGATAAACTTGCCGTTCTAGGCAAATCCTGCATTCTTCCAGCCCGGCTTCTAGCACAGGTTCTCTCACTCACAAAACCCTTACACAAAGGCTTACTCTCATGTTACCTGTCTACCCAGGAACTCTGATGGACATGCATCACCGTCCTCTCTGAGTGCTTTATAAAAATGTGTTATACACACCATTAACCTTCTGAAAAATAACACTTTTCTCTCCCAACTCACTTCTCCTGTAATGATGGCTAGGGTATGATCATCAAATATAAGAACATGAATATTATCTCTTTTCTATTCAGTGGCTTCATTTGTTTGAAATGTATATGCCAGTTACAGGCTGTCAGCACATCTAATAAGTTATAGCGTAGACCAACAACTCACAAACTTCTGGGGCCAAAAATTTTTACAGATCATCATGTATGCCTGTCATTAAATTTTGCATTGGAAACAGTCTAAATCATACTGCTTAATAGACTTCAATATGGCACACATAAGATGATTTGCCACAAGCACATGGAACACCAGTATTTGCTAAGCATAAAACAAAAAGCTAAAAGCACCCTTAATACCACCACAAACTCTCAAACTCCTCCTAGAAACTGATACTCTTCTCAGCAGGCAAAAGCCCAGCAGCAACTGAAACAGGTCCTTCACTGTGAGCTGAAGGAAAACAAGTTCAAGTTTTAGCCAGCTAAGCTCAGGAGCAAAGCACATCTATTGGTGATGTCTTCAGGAGGGCTGGACTGAATGCTTCAGCAGACCTTGGTACTGGAGACAGTTGAACTTTGATACAGCAATTAAGGCTTTGCATGTGAAAAACAATACTTAAGCAGCACCCAGAAATAAATTGATATCAGAACAGATTACAGATCACACTTTCACTCATGAGAGATACCTGTCACCAAGCAGACTTCCTCACAGTCAGTCAAGCTGCTCTGAGAGGAATTCAAATAGTCTCAAATAAAAGGCAAATTGACTTAAGTATAGACCTCTCTGTAAGAGGAGATTCCTCATCTGCTACTTAGTCAGAAGCAGATACACTCTTCTGTTGCACACTCTGTTCTTCCTGAAACACCTCAAAGCCTATGGACTCCTTCGCAGACCCCTAGCATAGAATACCGCAAATGCTAAAAAATGGTTATGGGTGCTAGGAAAAGTGGAAATAGTTAATGGAAAAGAAAACCATACCAATTTATTATGTACACGGAAAGAAAGTTTGTGCAAGGAAGTCCTTGAGCTGAAAATTGTTAAAGGGTTGGAGAGTATCCTGGAAAAGACCACCCTACAGCCACATCTTATATTCTTCCCTTCTGCTTTGCACCCGATCTTAAAATGGGAGTCTGGGATAGGTTGTCAGACCACTGATCTGACAAACTATAGTTGTTCCTATGTTTGGTAAGACACACTATAGTTGCCCATATGTTAACTTCACTTGCATGCCCAAATCATATGATTATTTTCATTGCTATAGCTCTTTGAAGCCATGGTAATAGACAAGAACTTACTGGGCTAATGTTATAAGTGTAATATAAAAAAATTACTGGCAAATCCTCTTATTATGAGATTTAATATTTTCTGTTCTCTTCCTCATCTTAGTAGGACCACTCAGGCATATATACACTTACAGGTACCTCACTTTTCATAATCTCTCATCTCAGAGTGGTAATGAGATAGCTAATCAATTGCATCAAATGGGCATCAATGCAGATTGCAAAACAGCATAGCCCTACGAACTGTGCCTATGTTTTGCATGCATGCTGATCAGGAGGGCAAAGACAGCAAAGTCATTTGATGCCAGGCGTGAATAGCAAGTGTCTGCTACTGGAATCTGCAACATTTACCACAAAAGCAAACAACAAAGTTCATTTGAAATAACTGCTTCCCTTCCTGTTTATGTCTGTTGCTGCAGAAGCACCATTTCATGGTTCAAAGGCAGCTGGCAGATGAAAATAATTAGCATGGTCACCTGATTCTTATATCTTGACCAACTGTATGTTACTGATCAACAGAACAGTATAATCCTTATTTTATAGGTCCACAAACCCTAAGATTTTCCACTGTACTATATTATACAGCAGATTTTATCTCAAAGTTTTGTTAACAAGAAATTGACTCCCAAGGATTCATTCTCTAGAGATTTGAGGTTCCTTCTAATATGTCTAACCCTACACCTGGAGAAATGCATAATACTGCAAGAATAAATCAGCATATTTAAGCATTTTGTTGTACTTATACCCAGTGCCAGTGTCATCCAACCTGCCATTTGCCACCGTTCTACACCAAGGAATTGGTCATAAGGGAATGAAAGGGAAAAAAAACCCAACAAAATCAATCAAACAAAAACCACAACAAAAAAAAGCTTCATCAGCAAGTTTTTTCCTATCCCTAATAAGTCCCTTAAGTCCCTTTACTCCTCCTTTGTAGGGAGGAGTTCATCCACCCCCTAAAAGATACCAGTCTGCCAGCAGAAACTTACCACAAGTTCAGAGAATCTGGCATTGAGCTCCTCTGCTGGTGGGATTGGAACAGAAAACTCAAGAAATTGGAGGGGGTTATTGTCCTTGAGGTTGATTTCAGGGAGGTCACTACCCCCAAAACAACAAAGAAACCCCAACGCATGACGATTCCTCTTCCGGGGGGCCATGATCATGGTGTATGATGCTATCTTCTGATCATGTTCTGCAGGAAGAAAAGAAAAAGAACAAACAAAACCATCAGACATTATATGATAAACAAGACTCTGTTGTATCTGTGCAGCTCTCTGCAGTTACAATGGTTAGCACTGCTGTACCAGCTGGAAGAGGACAGAAGGATCTGAGGCACAAAAGAGCAAAATCAACGCTCAAGCTAGACAAGCTTCAATACGCTATTAATATGTCCTTGTATGGCAGTGTAGAATCACTTCATCCAAAGTTTCTCAAAAGGTTGTAAAAACTCAGTGTGGGTTTTCCCAAAAGGTAGACTTATTGGTATTGGCTCAGTAGCCAAGGTTGAATGCTACCATTGAATGCCAGTATTGGCCTTTCTCTCACTACTACAGTAAAGGAACAAAAGCATCAGAAGGAAAAAGCATATACTGGAGAATTTACCAAGAATAAATGGAAGAATTCACCAAAGGTATCTCATTTGGTGAAAATAAAGTGAACAATGAAACAATGAAGCAGAAGTCTATTTTCCATGACCCTGGAGCCAGTCCACCAACCATTCACTTAGCCCTTTATGGCCAGGACAACCACAGTAGAACCATTTTTTCTGTAACGTTTTCAAAAACACGTACCTAGTTTGGGCTGCTTTATGCATCCAGGGGAGAAACTGCACAGTGCTAATGCATGCTTTCAGATTTACATTTGAGCTGCCAGATCCCATCTTGACAGGACCCAGGCTTAAGGGGCTTTGGTATCAGGAGTATAAAGGGAGGCAAAAGAAGACCTGAAGGAGGAGCTGGGAAGTGACTGATTTCACCACACAACACCGTTTGTGAGCAGCCCATCCAAACAGGAAGTCTCCTGCCAGCAGTTTGAAAGGAGGGATCTGTGCAGTCCATAGAGAGCTGCATATTTTGCCCTTTTAAGGGACTTGTTGTTTGACAGCTCAGGGGCTTATTTGTGTTATATTTTTTAAGGACTTCACTTTTTCACTTAATCTGCAGAATAAGCCATATCCTTAGAGAGTAAATAATTAAAGCCTGTTGTGAAGCCTGGCTCCTGGGCACAAGGCAGGGGAGAAGGGATGGAGGTGGCAGGTGAACCAAAACACAGAATGCTGGATGCTGTATCAGCAGCAACACAGCTGAGTTTTGTCAACAGAGCAGCTGCTGCCCTAACCTGCCCCACAATGCTTTGCTCTGTTTGCTTGCCAGAACAAGGCTGCTTTGAGGTCTCATAAAGACTGAGTAGTTGTGCTAAGAAGAGCACCTTTAGGACAGCAGTTGCACAGTGGGACTTAACATACTGCACACAGCCAGAAGATCTCCAGGGACTTCTTGTGTAGACATCAGCATGCTTGCTGAAGAAAAAAATAAGCAACAAACAACAAAAAGAAACCCAAACCACCCAAACTTCCACCCTTGTGGCACTATGCGCTTGGCAGAAATTACCTGCCCTACTTTGTGCTGGGATTAATTTATCTAGCACCTTCTCTTACGCACTGGAAGGTGATCAGCTACAACTCTCATGCAACTGAAAAGAAAATAAGCTGGTATCAGGTACTGTCTTCTGGCATGCCCACTTTCCTTAGCTCTCCGTGCCAACTCTGCAAGGGGTGGTATGTCTCACTAGGGCAAGGTGATGCTGACTTCTAAACCACATTTAAAAGATCATTAGATCCTCACTAGGAGATGTCAAAGGCTAACTTAATCCTAGAACTGGTCTCTGACACTGGTTCAGTCAGCAAAACCAAAATGCCCTCAAATCCAGCACAATGATGTGCATAGCAACTTCTGTTTTCTCTCAGTGATGTAGACTTAAGAGATTCAGTTCTTAAAAGATTGTACAAGAGAGCTTCAGAAGAAGTTGAACTTGTCTACCACATACCACCTTTTCAGGAACTACCCTGTGCTTTATGGTAATCTGGTCATGGATGATGTTGGAACCCATTAGTTTGACAAAACTTTGGTTTGGGAGGAACTCAAATCAATGAGCCAAACGTGATTTACACACAATATAACTACATTTGCATCAATTCAGTTGTAGCCACGTTCTGGCCCTCTATCTAGAGGCTTCTTCAACAGCATAAGGATCAGCATGCTCTGGGGCACAGACAATGAATCCTCATTGGAAAAACTGGCAGAGACACCAAGGTGATCGAATCATAACATCTTCCTTTACGAGCTCAGGTCAAGACTTTGGTAAACACTCCTCCAAAAGAAGCACCTTACCAGAAAATGAGTAGTACATGAATGCATGTGAAGGCTACATTTTCTACAGTAAGTACTGCCCTGGTCAGGGCACCACAGGTTGTCTTGTACTGACATCTCATCACTAAGCTTTCATCTCAAGCAAGTTTACTTAAGAGGTCAGTTTCCAGGCCTTCACTCATAATGCTGAAAAATACACAAGCTAGTGCTTGTTCCTGTGATGTTTTTACAAAATTGGCATCTATTCCTTGGGATCCATACTTGAGAAACTCAGCAAACCTACTCAGCTTTCAGTACTCTGCAGAAGCAGAGCTCCCGTGAACAGAAACCTTGTATTGCCTCACTTTGCCAAAACACCATTTCATTGTACAACTTAACACTGCAATTTTCCAAGTCCATCTATAAGCAGCACACAGGAAATTAAAAAATGGCACTTTTGTATTGCTACAACATTATCATTGTAGATAGCTGAGCTGTCTATTTTAAAATAGCATTTGAGGACTAGTAGGGAGATATTCAGGACAGGTATTCTGGAATTGAATCACTGAATGAGTAAATGATATCTCTAAGTGGGAGTACTGTCTTTCTAAGGATTAAGCCTGCCAGTCACAGGATCCTAAGCGGCATTTACTAAGTTGTACTCTTTATGCTATTTAAGAACTAATTACAACTCCATGGGTTTTTTTTGGTGGACATAGATTTAAACAAAATAAACATTTTCTAATAGCCTCCAAGTTAGTAATCTTTTCCTTTTCTTTCTCTATCTTTGGCCTTTCCTTTGTCAAGAACCAAATCTAGGGAAAATGTGCATCCAAAGGATGGGTCTGGGGAGAGAGGGGAAACAACAAAGGAAATTAAGAAAATAACAACTTTCATTTTGTGAGTGGTAATTGATAACAAAGCTGTCATAAAAATTTCTTAAAATAACGAGAGGTGTTTTTTTATTCTAATAAAAGCTCAATTGCCTTTCAACTTCTTGCAAATGAAGTGGTTGTGAAAATGAAACATGCCCAATTATCTACTTCTATATATACCTCCAGTGAGAATCAATGGGAAATCTCTCTCTGGAGAGAATCCCACTATTACACATAATCCCCTCCCACAGCTCTTCTCAGTTGTACTGTTTTACTCTTCTGCACAACACAAACAATTTGCCATCATTTCAACAGCTAACCACACACCCGCTCCTCATAGCAATCCCTCCCCTGCTTCCCAGCCTCATTTGTGGTTCGGCTCAGGTCAGAAGTCACAGTCTGGAACACTGCCCAAGGTCTAATTATAACAATGTCCTCTTCCTCTGACAGGGCGTACGTGTTCATTACTAAATCATTTGGCCCAGTGACCAAACATAATTAAGCTAATGCAATTTTTCCAAGTCTTATCAGAAAGTTTAGCCACATGGGATGGGATTCATGCTAACTGCACACAAGGATCCTCTTTCAGCTGCAGGTCTCACTCTTTTCTTCATTCTCATATCTGAAATTATATTTTCATGCAAACATATCCTAAATAAGCAACGTTCCACAAACAGTAAGACACCTGAAACAACTGCTATTTCAGCAGCTCTCCTGTGCAAGAGAGCTGATTATCATAGTTTTTACCTTACTGTCCTGTCCTTCACCACAGTGAACAGCCAGAGCACAACTAAAACTAAAATAGATAAAATTACTTTTGTATCATCACCTTTGGAAAAACAGAAAAAAAAGAGAGAACTCTGTGGATTAACTAAACACAAAACATGCAGTCCTGCAAAACCAGGTTGCAGCATAAGGAAGCATTAATGGATAACACTGATGTGCTCACTTCCAGAGCTGAATCTCCACTGATCATCAACAGACACACAACATCGGTGGATGTAGCCACAGCTTTAACCTGAGAGGGAAGCCTGGGACTAATTGTGTGATGCAGAATCACTGTCCACACTGGTTTATGCCAACAGGAAAGGAAACAAAGTAAATCACTTCCATTTCCCCATAGATGTGTATCTTTCTCTATGGCAGGATAAAACATATAAATGTGATGTAGTATCACAGAAGTAAAAAGAAACCTGAATTTGGACTGGTTTGGAACATAAGCCAACTCACCTCCACCCCACAATTCAAGTTAAATCTCTATGTTATACAACTATTAATTAATAAACCACCAGAACTTCATGGAATGGTAATAGCTACCTTCATCATCACTTACTGATGATGAAATGGAGAAAATAAGCACCATGCTCAAAATATATACACTGGGTAAAGCTAAAGAGTTCCATACTGATCCTATGCTCAAGTTCCCTGGACAAGATTACTTCTCCAGTACAGAGATGATGAAACTATGAGCTTCACAGCATGTTCCAATTACCATGGGAATTTTCCATGTATGTCACATGTAATGTAACAGATGTTAGATGCAATATAAAGCAATTACAGCATGGGGGGATGGGGAAAGGGGGCAGGGAAGCAATCCCTTTGTTGCATCTGCAGTACCCAACTCCTTTGGTTTGTATTTGTCAACATACTAAAGAGTTTCCTGGTCTCCAGGGCACAAAACAGCAACAAAATAACTAACTACTTAAAATCCACAAAGTTAAAACCTTTCTTTCAGGAAGGAGGGTAGTCCCTTCTGAAGAGCACACCTGTCTACTGTGTTGGACAGGAAGGCATCAGACCCAAAACAGATCACAGGACCTAAAATCCTGGAAAATGAGTGGGGCCTTGTACAGCAACAGCCACTCAGCTCCAGTCAGCCATAGCACACACTTATTGGTTCCACCAGAGGGGAGAGCTCAGCTCAAAACACATTGTGCATTTTGAAGTCGGTTTATGGATTTTCTCTCCCTCA